TTATTTGTTGGCTGTATGGAATGCAACGCCATTTTGTTGGAAACAGACGTCATCCAAATCAAAATGCTCCGATACAAGTACGAAGCAGTCAATAATCTTGGTTCTACAGCTTTCCGTCATAGAGTGTAACATTTAGACTGGCTTTAATTTTGTTGAAATATGTATCAATGTTCCTTATTGTCCACAAATCACTATAAACAGTGACATTTTGAGGATTTAATTAGGGTTCAACATAAGCTTGTGAATTCTTATCACTCGAAGCTCGACAAATTTTATCCATTTAAACAAAAGTGGGTTTCATCGCCGAACAAAATTTTCTTATGAAAATCGAAATCGGTGTCCATCTCGATTTGAGCCCACTGAACGAACGGGCGAAGTGTTCGATAGTCGTTTGGTTATAATTTTTCCACTAGTTGGATCTTTTAAGCTCGGAAATCAAAATCCGTTCGTCAAATCCTCCAAAAAGTAGATGGGCACAGTTGAAATTGTACCTAGCGATAGCTAATGGTAACAATAGCGTTGGTGTGCACTGTACGGCTTGTCTGAGGACGCGCATTATCCACTAGAGTAAACGTGATGCAAAACTGATGCATATCCCAGACCTTATTCCGTTTCGCTGATTAGCGCCATTTGATGATTCCAAGTGTAGCCAGGTCCTCTCCACCTGGTCTTTCCAACGATAGGTAGTGTGTCGAATACTCTCAGAGCTGCAGTCTTTTCATCCAATGGGACGACATGACAGAGACACCGGCTACGCTGGCATCACCTAGCCAAACAGTGATGTGACCTTGCCAGCGTAACCGCTGCCTCTGTCATGTTGTCCCAATGGATGAAAATACTCCAGCTCTGAAAGTATTCGAGACACTACCTATTCATTCGTCTTTTTAAGAAAGGCTGTATGGAATTTTCATAGATTTTTTATTTCATACCATCTATGAAAATTCTATAAAGCCTTACTGACAAAGACGCATTGCTCGAGGAGTATTAATCATAGAGGTTTTGAATCTCTCCTCGAACCTTTTTTGTAGCAAATAAAATTATCTACAAGTTTGTCATGTATATTTTTTCCATAGCTCTTGTCATTTACGAGATGTGTTACCTCGCCGGTGTGAGTTTCGACTTTATCGCAATGGGTACTTTTGTAGAGTGGTCAATTCTAAGGAATATGTGTCTAAAGTCAAGGCGATGCCATAAAATGACTCTGAGCTATAGAAATTTAAAGCTAAAAATCATTTTGTCCTGCATTTTCAATGGAAAATTTTTACAAGCCTTGGTCCAGTTTTTAGGGTTTTTTTTTAATAGTATTTCCAAAGAGATTTCATGATGGGATTGAAAAAATGAATAGTTAAGAAAATCACCCTAATATACATATATGTATGTGCGCCAGACACTTTCACGTCTTTGTGAAAGGCGTAAATTTTGCAATTAAAATCAGATCAATCGAAATGAGCACAATGCTATGCAACAATAACAAAAACATGAAGGAATAATAAAAAAAAAGAAAACACAATTCCAAATAATACATAATGTAGAAGGTGCTTGCTCAAACAGAGAAAGTGCATAAAAAGAGAAAACGGTTTTTGTATACGCTTTTTATACAGAGTTGTATTCGCATTGTATATTGGCAGCCTTGAGCTTTTAATGCCCAACGAAGCACTTTTGCATTGTGTTGTAATTTAATGCCAATGTGCACTTGCAGAATTGCTAAATTTTGCACTCGTTAGTAAAGTGGTGTATTACAATTGCAATTCAACTCATTAACCCGTTATAAAGATATACTTACAACAATATAGGTTGTTAGAGTTGTTGGAGTGATAAATTTAGTCTGATTGTTGAAAGTTTATGAAAGCATGGGGTTCAAATTTTTATGTTTTTACACAACTACTTACTTATTTTATGGAAGAAATATTAAAAATACTATGTAATTCTCTCCGTGTTCACTTTAGTCTTTTTCTGTACGTCTTTTGACTCATAAGAAATGTGTTATCGAAAGGTAAAGCTATGTCAGTCGACAGGTTTTCTATGCTTTTAAACTGTCAAAGCTGTGTGGAGTGGCGCCAGTTGGAACCATCCAGATACTTTCTCCAACATCTTGGTATCAATACCTTCATATAACCCAGTGATTTAGCTGGAGTTTATAATGGATGTTTCACGAAATTTTAGGTACTTTTGATTTATAGCTAGGCGTTTTTGTCAGGCTGAGGTTGAAACACTTTTATATTATTGATATTATAGATATCACTTCAATGAATCGAGTGAATTGGCTGGGATGGATACCGACTACCTCAAGGAATATTTGAATTCAGTTCGTTTAGTCGATTTACTGGGGTCTTTTATTCTATATCTGGATGTTTTTGAACATCAAAAAGGCTAGCGTTCACCGCTGTGCAAAAGTAAGCATTCGTTTTTAGCTGAACTGTGATAGGCTAACCTTATTTGTGTAACGGATTTGTAAACTGACGCTGAGCTCAAAAAGCACCGTCGCAATCGGGAAGAATCTCTCCGAGCCGTTCGATATCGAGGTTTCGGAAGAGGCGACATCCTTTCATACGACCTCTTTAATCTACTGCCGGAGAAATAATTTAAGTTTCAGAGCTAAATAGAGAAGATACCGATGATATTGATATCATTGACCTCAACATCCGCACCACAATGGGTCTGGCAGTGAACGAGGGCAAGACGAAATATGTCCTGTCATCAAACAAAAAGTCACCACACTCGCGACTTGGATCCCACGTCACTGTTGACAGGCATAACTTCGATGTCGTAGATAATTTCATCTATCTAGCGTAAACACCACCAACAATGTTAGCTTGGAAATCCAACGTATGATAACTCTTTCTAACAGGTGCTACTTCGGACTGAGTAGGCAATTGAAAAGCAAAGTCCTCTCTTGACGAACAAAAACCACACTCTATAAGTCACTCATAATTCCTGTCCTGCTATGTGGTGCAGGGGACGATGACAACAACTGATGAGTCGACGTTGCGAGTTTTCGAGAGAAAAGTTCTGCGATTGTGGTCCTTTGCGCGTTGGCCAAGGCGAATATCGTATTCGATGGAACGATGAGCTGTACGATATATACGACGACATAGACATAGTTCAGCGAATTAAAAGATAGTGGCTACGCTGGCTAGGTCATGTTGTTCGAATGGGGGAAAACACACCAGCTCTGAGAGTATTTGACGCTGTACCCGCCGGGGGAAGCAGAGGAAGACGAAGACCATCACTTCTTTGGAAGTACCAGGTGGAGAAGAACCTGGCTACGCTTGGAATATCTAATTCGCACCACGTAGCGAAAAGGAGAAACAACTGGCTCGCTGTTGTTAACTGTTAGCTGTAATTGCGTAAGCGGTGTCTACGCCAATTAAGAAGAAGAAGAAGATAGTAAATATTTCTACAATTTCGCGATTACAGTTCCGAGGTCGATGTTCCTTTGCACAATCCTTATTTTATTTTCAAATAAATAATATGTCAAAAAGTCAACTAAATTATTTCTCTAACCATTTACACGATTTTATAGTTGTAAAATTACACGCTAGAAAGAAAACCGTGGTGCCAAAGAGACTGTACATAATCACTAATATCTTTTAAATATCAATTTTCCATCAACTTCATTTTATTGACGCATTAATATATCTTACTCAAATACCAATAAACCGTCAAATTTGAACTAAAACACTCGGAACCAAAGAACCTAACTACTATACTTAAGCCTCTTGTGTTTCGTGGAGGAGAATTGCAAATAAATTTCACGAATAGGTAATTTAGCGCTTTGAGCAGAGAACTTACCAAGCTTTTGATTTTCCATTTGAGAAATAATGCACAGCATTCAGTCCGATTAGAAATGTAATTTGAGATTATATTTTCATTCGAAATTGGCTATGCAATTGCTTATAAGTGTAATAGAATTTTTTAAGAACTTCAAGTATACTATGGAATAATAACACTATGCAACAATTTTTCGAAATCAGTGAGAACCTGAGAATGTATAGAAAAGAAAGACCTACGTCAACGTCAAAACGATTTCTCCGTACACCAGGTATTCTTATGCGACAGTAGACAACTCCAATTTGTATGACTTGTAAAAGGTCTGCTTCCTTGGTTTAGACATTACGTGACTTAGCGAGTCTTTAGAATATTTCGAATAAAATAGGTGTGTCATTAAACTTTTTCTATGCCGATTATGGGAAATACCCAAGATGCCTTGAACATCTTAAGATCTACGTCAAAATAAACACATTTCGATTTTGTTGTAGGCTTAGTTGAAGCGGAGCCTATGCGCAAGCGCACCTGATTCCCCTTACATTTGAATCCGACTTTCTAGAAAAAAAATCCCGTGAAGATAGCATCATTTCTAACGAGCTCAAATGCAGTCTAGACAAAAAGAGAAGCTGAGATTGGTCTAGGTGTAATAACAGGCACTAAATCTGAAGCTAAGCCTTGCTCCGGGAAGACAACAAAACCAACTGCAGCCGGAACCAAATATATATAAGTATGGATATACACTAGGGAGGTAAAGGAAATGTCATAAGTGAGGTATGCCTGTCAGAAAGCTACAGTTGCAACCGCCTCATGAGGTGGTTACAAAGAAGTTGCTGGAGTCCATTGATTGCGAGTGAGCGGTTCACCACAGTTTCCAGTTTGAAAGTAATAGCGGAAGCTAAAATACAGACGTCAACTGAAGAGGCTAAGCCGTTATCCAAAAGGCAGCAGACAAAGATTGTGATAGCTGCAAAATCATTCGCAGCTGTGGCCTGAAACCACATTAACATTGTCGCACTGCATGCGAGTGATCTCGAATGAAATTTCCTAAAAGCCTGACTGTTTCCTCATTTAATAACTAAGTTAAACGGTTACAAATTGTAGCAGAGTGTGTAGAAAGCTTCGAAACAGCTGCGAATTTCATGAGTAATCGTTAAAGTTTTCCAGCATCTGTTATATATATACATATAAACAATTTCGTTTGCCAACATTTCACAAACTGTTCTGAGACGTGAGATCGAAATGTCTACGCGTAGTCAACGAGTGCCGATCGCATTAATAATTTTGATATTTTACAACTATATTTTTGGTTGTAGAACACAAAATATGAGGCAATTTACTAACACAACTAACGTGACCGTGGAGAAGACAACAAATGATGGCAAAACTATATCAATTACCAGTACCGTGGAAAAATCTCACATCGGCGATACAATTGGTGAAAAAATTTTGCAAAATAGATTTAGAGATACACTCAGAAAGCATAAGGGTTCAATTGAACCCGCTTTCATTGGGAGTACTCAAACGGAGTTACGAAACTATGATGTGGAGGAAGTACATACAGACACGGATTCATACATACCAATAATTTTACCGAAAACAACTCACAGAACGTTTGATACAGAAAAGACTAGATGTGTAAGGGCGATAAGTGACACAATACAGACGCTGACGTTACCCGGTGGGCCATCATTTAATGTACGGTGCATAGTTGATGAGAATGGTAAATGTCCGTGGGCAGTTATTTTGGAGCGCAAGTCTCAAAGAGATAATTTCGATTTTGGCTGGCTGAATTATCGTGCAGGTTTCGGTGATCCAGCCACAGGGAATGGCTACTTTGTAGGTCTCCAGAACTTGTACACACTTACACAATATCAAATGCAAGAATTATATATTTCCAAGCGTTTCGAAGGCGAAGACTTAGTTAAGGAGATCTATGGGAATTTTCGAATTGGCGACGAGAGCGTCGATTATGCGGTGGTAAGCTTGAGCGTGAATACCAACAATACGATGATTAGACACCTGCAAATCGCTTCGAAATTCATCACAAAAGATCGACACTTTGACGAGCGTTTAGCTGTATGCGCGAGGACTTTGGGCATGGGTTGGTGGTATTCGGAGAAATGTTTGCAGTAAGCTTACTTATTTTGTATAAAAATTTGTTTATATAACTTTTTTATATATTATATAAACATTTATTTTTTATACCTTCTTAGGTCTATGATGCTGCATAGCGTACGGGCATATGTAAAAGCTCCAACTATTATTGCTGTGAGACCAATTAATTGCGAATTTTTTTAGTGAAAGAATGGTTGAAACATAAAACATGTTAATATAAAAGTTAGAAAATAAATATTTATTTGTATCCTTTCCACCTCAGTTGTCATGGTTTATCAAATTATAATCTTTAAATATATAATACAAGTAGTGGCCAGAAACTATTCTTTTACATATGGAACAAGCAGTTTACGACTTTCGGTCTCAAGTCTCAAGTATCCTCTGGGTAGCCAAAGAAGGCGAGCTAAAGTGAAAAAGCGTACCATGTCTCTCCAGGGTTGTGCGTTGGGTTTGAGATCCGTCACATAATCTGATGAGAGACCCTCCTATTTGATGACAGCCAGAATCTCGATTGATGAAAAATCTGGCATAGCAGAAAACTTTTTGAAAATAGTGAACAACATTCACAGTGTATGTTGTGCATTAAAAGGGTTCTTATAAAATTTATTTCGCGGTCAAAAACTGCGTAGAAATTGTGCGAATCCAGTCGCTCATTAGGATTAGGTAGAGATTGGGAGTGCAAAGTCAGAGGAACCATTAAGGTAGAACAGCTCATAAAGTATTTTTTTCAAACCTGAAATTAATGAGTTTTTTAGACATTTGGTTTTCAATGGGGCAATATATTTTTCGCTATTAGCCTTTTGACAGCCATTACTTAACTTACAAGCAGTTTGGTCTGGAATTGCATAATTAATAGAATTGATTTGAAGATCCGAATGAGTCCATCCACCGTCTCGACTGCGCCAGTTTATTATTTGAGCCAACCGCGGTAGTCACAAATCTCTTTCCATCTGCCAATGATTTTAACCGTAATTCAGAGTACAGCTACCGGAAAGCTTAGAGAAAATGAAGGAAAAGACGTTCAACTCATTATCTGCATTATACGTAAATTCCTCTTTTTAAATATTTTAAATGAGGCCACACAACGAAAGAAAGATGGTTAAAGTTCTGTCGAAAGATTCTTTTGAAAACATCCAAGGAGGCATAGCTTGTTACAGCAGCATTTCAGGTAACTGCAAAGCTTACGAGCTGGTACGAAAAGTCATAACAACCACACTGTTAGCAGCATGTAAACGGGTCGGTGTTCCGTTCGCCTTGTATGTACTACTACTTTCTAGCTGGCTTCGTGGAAGATCAACAAGTACTAGATACCATTGGTTATGTGCTAATAAAATCCTTTCGGCCCAAAGTAAATCGCAAGAGATTTATTGCGGCTAGCCTTTCCCTAACTGTATGGATATTAATAGGTAATTGCCCTAACGGCATCCAAACAGTACGGTTGAGAATTTTTTTCGGATGTTAGCTGCGAAGCTATATGGAAGAAGAGGGAGCGGAAAGATTTTAAGACAACGATTGCGGTATTCGCCGTTGCCAATGCGCAAAGGACCATAAGTCTTCCGCGAAACTTTTCTCTCGAACACACCTAAGGCCGACTAATTAATCCACACCATATAAAATGACGGGAATGATGAGGGTCTTGTCGAACTTCGTCTTTGTTCGTTGTGACTTTTTAATTGTCTACTCAATCCGAATGAGCAGAGAGGTAAGAGTGAACCTCGATATTGGTATCAAGTTTCATGAAGCTTTGGGTGGGGCTCAACTTCGGCTTACACAACCATTAGACATAGCGACATAGAGGCAGTGCCGTTTCGGCACTGGTTTGGTGTTTGTCAATTTTCCTTTTGTGGTTTTCCACTATTTAAGAACTTAAAAATAGATTCATGAATAGGGTGAAGAAAACGGTATGAAAAATGCTATCTAAGGACTGAAGAATTTAGTCAAACCCAATTGCTTTTTCTGGCTAACCAAAGGGAAAAGTCTAAATGAAGATAACAGCGATGTGTTACAACTGATTACTAGGCGACTATATTTCACGGGGATACACCTTCGAATAAAAAAAAAAAAAAAAAATGCCAGGGAAGAAGTTCAGACATAATAAAATAGAAGTGTTTTTGTTTGGTAAAAATAACTGAAAGTGGGTCGAGAACGAGTTGAGGATGAAACGCGTCCAGTAGGCTCATCAACATCAACTAATGATTAACACGGCAATAAATTAAATACAAAAAAATATAAAAAATGGTGGTTGATAATCGACGATTAACAATCAGAGTTCTTACTGGCATCGTTGGAATACTGGAAGGCTCAATGTAAACCATTTTAAAAGTTCATTTGGGCTTAAGAAAAGTGGAAACATGGTTGTGAAATAATGCTTTTAATCTAGCACGGCAGGTCAACAATCAAGGCTAAGTCGACTGTTTTCTTCGATTATCGAACTGTCAACAAGCAATAAAATTTCAATAAAAATAACCTTGAAGGCTCTCTATAAATATTCAGCGTGGCGATCTGAATCAAATATTAGGTTCGTCCGCCTATCTATCTTTGTATACACACGCGAACTAGTCTCTCAGTTTTTGAGATTTAACGATAAAAGTATGAAAAATTTATTATTAAAGTCTTGCTACAAACTCCGAATAAATCGTGCAGATCGAAAGTCTATGGCATTAAGCTGTCATACAAATTAAACTATTGAAATGATATTTGGCAAAGTTTATTATCTAAAGCATTGCTATAATTTCCATATCGTCAAGAATGAAACACTGTCGCTTATATCTGCCATCCAAACTGACCGTTTCAATTCAGAATATGTATATTTTTATGCTATAAACACCTGTATTATTGCTATTGTGATATTGTTGCTTCAGTGCAGGCAAAATCAATGATTTTTCTGGTTTCTAATTATTTATTATTATATGCAAAATTTTATTTATTCTGAATACATCAGCCCTTATTATGACAGCTTTTCGGACGAATAGCCAAGTAAGTCGGCGAATTTATATACATATTAGATTGTCAAAAAAGTATTGCGGTATTTTTATTGAATTTTCAATTGTTCATAAAAAAGAAGAAATAAACAAAACTCATGCCCAGCCCTTGACCGATGCTACGGCTGTTGCTATGCCGACAGGCCTTCCGGAGCGTGGCGCATCTTCGACCACCTCTACACCAGAACGAAAACGTTGAAACCATCGTTGTGCGGTGGAAATGGAAACTGTATCGGGTCCATAAACTGCACAAATTTTATTGACGGCTTGAGATGCAATTTTGTACTGTAAAATATGCCGTATTTTCTCTTTATTTTGCTCCATGTTTGCGACGCTATAATTCACGAACGACTAAAAAGAAACGACAATTAATCACGTGTTAGCGCATGAAATGAGCTTTCCAAAAAGGTATATATATGAGTCGATGCGACGAATAGAACTAGAACTACGCGCTCTCAGCGCCAACTAGCAAAAATACCGCAAAACTTTTTTGACAACTTAACATAATAGAGACGAGACTTTAAATAACTAAAAAGAGTTAAAATATTAGCATTGAAATCTCAAACGAAAGTGTCATTGCTTACGTTTTGCAGTAATCGCTGTACCACCAACCCACACCCATTACTCATTCCCCCAAGAGCTTTCCAAATCTTTAGTAAAGAAACGGACTCGCCTACTCAAACGTTGAAATATGCTACTTTTGTTGTTTCCACTCTTGACGAACACCTCGTATTGTGTACGTGCACTGCCGATAGAAAATTCTTCAAAAATTTCAAACTCCCAATTATTCTCACCGTACTTAGTGCTGATGCGTAATTACTGTGCCTTGGCATTGGTCAAAGCGTATAACTTGTCCAAGCCAATAAAAAAATTATCCCGTTTTGGTATTCCGCCCATGTACGATTGAATTCAGCGTTCATTTCATTACGTCGCCAAACAAGTGTCCAACCACAACCACCGCTGGGATCCGCTAGACAGTATACCTCAAATGGTGTTATATTCAGCGGCGTTATATTGTAGATGCCACCATCGCTGCCAAGTCTATCCGGTAAAATATCTGCACAACTGCTTGCCGGTCTATAACTGTCGCTGATTTCGTCATTTGAATGGAGATATTCTCTTTTTCTTTCCGGTGGTTGAAGCATGTTTACGGTGAATAAATATATTACATAAGTTATGGTTTTGTATACGTAACATATGACAGTAACTATCCTCAGTCATTAATTTTTCGTTTCAAGTCAAGCTGCTTTTATAGCACTAAATTTATATTTATTCTTTGCTCATTCCTATAGATAATAGAAAGATTTATAGCGAAAATTAAAAGACTAAAAATATACATTAAATAATTATTATTTCGTGATGCGTGTATACACTTCCGTCGTGCGATTCAGCAAGTATTTAGCGTATCGGTCTGACTTTCGGCAGGTCGCTTGCTATCGGCGAAAAACGCGTTCGTGAAAATAATAACTGAGAACAACATGGCTGTCACGAAACCGCGTTGCGTTGAGACGATATCTTTACTAGTACTAATGGAACAAGGCTGAACTAAAAGACTTATATGTCAAAAAAAAAAAAAAATAAAAAAAAAAAAATAAAAAAAAAGTAGTCCGGACTCACAAATCAGCTGTACATACCATATTTGCTTATAATTACGGTTTTTTAATGACTAATTAATGTAAGGGTATTATATTACACATTCGTTAATAAAAACAAAAAAAAATATTTTGATTATATGTATGCAACTATGTTATATAAGCGACCTAGAAAAATATTTCTCAACTCGCAGCTGCATCGCCTTATTACCTCTTCATTGAAATTGAGACGTTTCACATGTTGATCTATGAATATTCGATTATGATAATGGAAAAAGCTAAAATATTCTAGTGTTTCATAACGATTCGGATATCAAACGAATATTTCAGAATTACTATTCATTTGAATCGGAACATTCAAAAGGTGTTATATTAGCAATGTTTTTAATGCAATGAAACCAATTAAAACAAGGAAACATTTTTTGACGATGTTGTCACAGATATTGGAAGTGTTCTCAAAGCAGGTATTTTCTGAAGAAACTTAGACCGGAGCTTACCCTTTGGAAAGCCGAAATGACTTTTATCATGTTATAAATATAATATCTCCTAAGTAGTATGCAAGTACTTCGGCTGAACGTCACACCACCTAGGTGAGTCTCTGAATAATATTGGCTGACCGCCTTATAATTGTATGCAGTATAATGAGCGATTGTTCGATGGATTCCTAAACTGGCCAAACAACATACTTTTGATCCTAATCAAACTTTCATAAGCTCACTCAGAATATATTGAATATAACGATTGATTCTGAGAAAAATTTATGCGTGATAAACTCACTGGAAAAGATTCCTTAGAAAGATCGCTGCGCTTAAGCACGATCCCTGAGAAGATTACTTTTCCTCATGAATAGAAAAAAAGAAGAATGTTAAGTTCAGTTTTAGATTTTGAAATAACAGATATGTTCAGCAATTCATGACAACATATTCGAAATTATTTTATGAGAGTTTTATTCTATGTTAAAAGAAGTTCGGCAACATCGTATTTTACGTGGAGATGACCCTTTTTCACTAGCGTGTCCAAGGATTTGTATCGAGAATACGTCTCTCAATAATACTGATCCCTAAGACATCACTACAAAACAGGAAACATCCCCCTACAACCTGCAGATACAGTGGAGTATTTAAGGCTCATCCTAGAGAGGAAGCTTTCATGAAAGCATACATCGGGGAGAGATCAATGAAGATATTGATTGCCTTGTACTATTCCAAAAGAGTCATTGGTAAAAGCGAGAGTTTCTCACCGAAAGTTGTTCTCTGGCCCTATGTCGCTATGATCAAGCCCAGATCGAGCATGTTCTATGAGAGGTACTGTGGTATAGGTCCACTTGCCACAATGGCATTTATTCTGATTCTCAGAGATTTTAGGGTTTCAAAATGATCATGATTAAAACATTCGGAAATCCCTATATACTTTGATTTCATACCGAATCTCTTAGTCCATAGAGTGGGCAAACCAAGCTTTGAAGTGAAAAAGTGAAGTTGAAAAAGTGTGACCGTGAGCTTCTTTACGGATGGGTCATAGCTATGAGGTAGGCTGGTAGAGAAGTATATTGTCAAGAACCCTCCATGAATTTCAGACTGACTGACATTGCAATGCTTTTAAGCTGAGGTTAATATAACGGTATATGCTCCCTAATTAAGCTTTTTTCAGTGAAGTGATTATTTACTCTGATAGCAAAGCGGTAATACTAGCCGTGAGCTTTCTAATCGTGCGTTCAAGGCTGGTTAAGAAATGCCTAACCACGCTGAGGATATCAGCAGAATCACAGGTAAATGAAAACTTGACGAGCTAACCAGGAAGGGCACCGTATATTATCTATATAAACTATCTGTTTAACCTGCACTGTTCATTATCAGGAGGATGGCCTCCTTTTGTTAAATTTTAATTCAACGTTATTTTCCTATTCCCAGTCAGTGAGTTGGTCCCAAAAGTGACATTATGTCGTAATTTTTGATTAAAAGCAATTTAATTTCGAAGGCCCAGACCAATACAATTCTTACTTCCCCGACTTGCGCAATGAAGAGCACTATTTGAATCGCTCACACAATTAGATGGGTGGCGTAATGGCTTACGGTGCCAAATCCTATTACGGCATCTGCGTATTCAAGTTTTTTACGCTAAAAATGAACGCCAATGAGTACAACCGCAGATCTAGAATTGTACTTGCATATCTCTATATATTAACCAAACATGCTTAGAGGGTGCTAATATGATGACGTGCAGTATCTGTACATATATAAATATAAAAGTATGTGTGTAGGGAGAGCTTGTAAAAACATTTGTATGGTATGTCGATTACAATTGATGGATTGATCTTGAAATCGATGAAAAATCAGAAAACACTTGCGGATATATTTTTTGCATTTAAATTTGACTTGCCTCGTTTCAGTTGAGCCTTAGGAGCCACACTGAAAGCATGAAGCCTTCTCCAACTGTCAAAAACTTGGTTCTACATGTCGTAGTGTATTTGCTTATCAACGCGGTGACGGCAAAAGGATCTAATACTAGTAGCAATTCAACAGATAATCGGCGCGCCGTGAGGAACAGACTTCTAACGAGGTACCGCTAAGGAAATATATTAGCATTATTTATTTGTTTTTTGTTTTGTTTTTTAATTCAAATATCTAATTTTAAACTTATAGAAAGAATGCAGGTAGCGTTGCGACATTGGACACACAGAACATTAATGAAGAAAGTCTAGCGCCTAATATAGACAGCAATACGACGGATGATGCATTGGACAATTTCGTACAAAAAGTTTCGACAAGGTAATTGTTTTAGTGAATTTGAACTGTATGCTATTTTATTTAACGAAAATTAAGCAACTTTTTTTTTAAACCTTAATAGCACAAAAACAATTTCAAATTTTACCGAAGTAATTGATAATTCAACAGATCGGATAGAAGACGACGCTGATGTTGAGAAAAGGGAAATCCAAGGCAAAAACGATGCTGATGATGATGATGATGGAAGTAATAGAATGAGCGAGTTGAAGAACAAATTTACGCGTAGACCATTTGCCGGGTAATTATTTATAAGTGATATTTTTTCTTTAAGACGTATGGTTATCAATGAGACAAAACTATTTTCGAAGCTGGTATTTTTGACAGCTGTTACTACAGGTAAATTTAAACGCAGTTTGGTATAACATTTCATAATGAAGAGACTTACTACAAAACAACGTTCGCAAATCGTGCCAATTTATTACCAAACTAATGGTTCGTGCCATACTACGCGCTCCGTTCAATGTTCGATCATCCAGTATAAGGAAGCGAAGCAAATGGATTTGGTAGTGAAGGAGGGCATGATGAAATATCTCGTCAAGCAAACAGTTGTCGCAGTCGACACTTGGCACCCACATTACTGTTGACAGTCATAACCGCTCAGTTGGAAAGACCAATGCAGAGAACCTACCTACATACACTTGGAATCTTAAATCGACGGCGAACAGCGAAAAGGAAGAGCGGCTGGCGCGCTGTTGTAAACTCGGCTATAGTCGCGTAAGTGGTTTCTACGCCAATAAAGAAGAAGAATCGGCTAGCAAAGTAAAGTGAGCGATCATGAATAATGCGCATTCCCCAAAACTCTGTAGAACAGGGTAACGAAGAAGTTCGCATGCAACGATTGGAACTTTACCCTCCCAAGAGCATCACACGTTCGGTAATTGGACTCAAAACGAGATGCACACCGATCTCAATTTAAGAAACAAACTGGATTCAGCGATGAATGTCACTTTTCGTAGAATGGGTACCTTAATAAACGACAAGTTTCGTAATTGCAGTGATGATAATTGTTAACTAGCCATTGTTGGGACGCCGGTACATCCACAAAAAACACTGTTTGGTTTACACTATGGGCGGAGAGGTAATCATTCGTCCATACATCTTCACAATTTTAGAGGCTATAATGCTACAATAAATGAGGAACGCTTTAGAGCCATGACTAATGACTTTTACGTGACCGAATTAGAAAGTGTTGATGCGGATAACTTCAGACCGCGGCTTACAGGACTCTAGTCAGTCAAAACTGATTTAGTACCAGCTATTAAATTATGTAGCGGGACCTGGTCGTAGATGTGCGGAGGAAAAAGCTACTCGTGTCCCTGATTTCACCTGAGACAATGCTGGAAGACCAGTATCAACATGTGGTCGAACAAAAGCTATCTCACTCGGATTGGGTGGTCACAAAGCAGTTATTCCAGTCCTTTTGCGACAGGAGAATAACTTTTACTTCCCTATCTTGTTCAACTGAAGGGAGGGTGAAGTGAATTTTATACCCAAGCAAGGAAGTATTATTCACTGGCTGAATCTTTTAAGCCAATTAATCTAATTGATTTTTTACTAAAGAGTATGAAAAGATCATTGATTATGAGATAAGGACGAGGGCGCTGAAGGCTGATAGATCGAGTGCAGTATCTCGCGACGTGGCCGCCATGATTGCTTGGCTGTGTTTTGTGGAGTTATGTGAAATCACTTTTCTACGTAGTTGAGCCTGAGGCAATTGACAATACTGGAAGAGAATATTCGGTGCTTTATTGTTGACATGCGGCCCAATCGCTGTGAAAGGCGCTCAAAACATGAGCATTCAGCCAAATTGACAAACCTTAATCGTTATAATTAATCAAAATTCTTGGTCATAATAATATTTATTTCTCTTTGAAAACCATTTGTCCAGAAAAAAAAGCTTCACTTTTTCAAAAAATTTGCGCAATCAAACTAACATTTTTTTTTTTGTACTTCTAAAGAAAACCATACAACGCGAATTCCTCTAGTGTTACAACAATTGTTATTGGGGCTAATGAACTTGGCGACTTTAAGCGAAATTTTAAAAATTTATTACGGTAAATTATTTTAGAGTTAATTTCATATAACATTAATTTATATTATCCTTATATTATCCTTTTTTCGCTCCAAAAGTGGGTCACAAGCGGAACCAGTATTGACAACGGTAATAAAAACCAAATCTGTATTGAAAGACAATAAGTGGATAACAGCTACAGAGAAAAGCTTTATATATTATCGTGATCAAACAAAGTTACCGGAAATTTCAAAAACTACTACCAATAGCCAACAATTTAGAAGTGAAGGTATGCAAATAAGATTATTTAAAACTATATGGGACTAAATTCTAATGAATGAATCTATTCACCGAAGGCACAGAGAAAACGTTCAACATAGATCCACATAAATTAGACTATGTACAAGTAAATGCCGGTCTCCGTAGCGTTGACGATGATACTTTACCCATCAGCTGTGCTGAGATTATGAAGCAAAATATTGGCACCCCTAATGGAGTACATACAATATACGTTTTTGGTTACGGACCGACCGAAGTATACTGCCTTGCCGATCCTGTAGATACGGGTTGTGCATGGACTGTATTTATGCGTCGCGTAAATACTGGTGATTCATTTGATCGAAACTTTGAGGAATACAAATTTGGTTTCGGCGAGCCACATGAAAGTTTCTTCCTCGGTCTGAATCGTATTTATGTGCTAACAACCGAAACAAAGCAGGAACTGGGTATATTTACGAAATTTGAAACAAACGATATTGAAGTGGAAAAGTATACATACTTTGTATTGGGCGATGAAGAAACCGGCTATAGAGTGGAAGAGTTGGGCGCATTTTCGAGAACATCTGCTATAAGTCGTCTAACGCGATTTGCGAAATTTTCTGCTCGCGATTTGGATAATGGCATTCAGCATAATAAATGTGCCCAGGTGCTCGGTATGGGCTGGTGGTATTCGGATAAATGTAAGAGGTGAGTAGATAAGAAAAAGAGATTAAATAATAAAAGGATGGTATAACTTAAAGTGTTATGCTCTCGTAACTTTCGAAGCTCAAAGCTTCAGATATCGCCAAAACCTTATATTAGAAAATGTTTCGAATAAGTCCAAAAAAAATTCGTATAACCACATAGTTTAAAATCTACTCGAATGTTGAAAATGACTGTATATGTGGGAGCTTGGGGAACTATTTATACGATTGTAATCATTTTTTGCTCAAGAATAGATCACTATCATAAAGAGACGGTATTGACGGATAAATACAGGAGAGCGAAACGATTTATAGGGAGCCAAACAAAATGGAAAATCACTTATAGAGAAAAGCTTCTACGGATCATTCCGAACAACATTGCCGAAAAGACCAAGTATCTAAAACTGGTTTCGATAGGGATAAAAAAATCGTTCGTCAGTTTTTGGGATATTTGAATGAATTTTACGTACATGTTATTTAGTATTCTATTGATCATTTATCAGAATCCGCTTCATTGGACAACTGTATCACATATCTCCCATACAACCATTTATTAAGATTTCTTAAAATTCTCTCTAAAACTTGTTGACTTGTAACTGGTTTTAGACCCATAGTCTTTTAGACAAATTTGTTCAGAGTAAACCGTAGAATATTTCCAGCAGATAAAAGACCCAAACCGCTCTAATGCGCAATATATCGTCAACCTGAAGTTGCAAACATTTTTGTATTTGGTTGTCAAAAAAGTCTTGCGGTACTTTCGCGGTATTTTTATTTAGTTTTTAATTGTTGATAAAATTTTTTTTGATCATTCATGCCCAGCTCTTGACCGATGCTACGGCTGCTACTATGCCGGTCTCTTCCGACCAATTCAGCGATTTTATCGCAAGTTTCGACGACGGGCCTTCCGGGGCATGACGCATCTTCGACCACCTCTACACCAGAACGAAAACGTTTAAACCGTCGTTGTGCGGTGAAAATGGAAACTGTGTCGGGTCCATAAACTGCACAAATTTTATTGGCGGCTTGAGATGCAGTTTTGCCGTATCATCGTCGTATTTTCTCTTTATTTTGCTCCATGTTTGCGACGCTATAACTCACGAACGACTTAAAAGAAACGACAATCAATCAAACACGTGTTAGCGCATGAAATGAGCTTTCCAAAAAGGTAAAGCATGACCCGATGCGACGAATAAAACTAGAACTACGCGCTATCAGCGCCAACTAGCGAAAATACCGCAAGACTTTTTTGATACCCTAATATTAGGTATACATAAGGCGGCAAGGGGAAGTATTGATTCGATTACACCCATTTCAGACGCAATAGAATTTTTGTTTACCAGGAAAATAGGAAAATATATTTTTTGAATTTTATTAAAATACCTCAAAAATAGCGTCAGAGTCTCCGTATGTAATCAGACATAGTCACTGGAGTAGTATTTTCGGAAATAGCAGACTGATGCCTCCTTAGAACTTATTATATAGCAATTAAAATGGTTATCTGTAGGAAGTCAGCGTGGTTATATTCCGATTTGTTCCATTTTCAGGCAACATGAAAACGTAAAAATAATAGTATACACCAAATTTCGTTAAAATCGGTTGACTAGTTCCCGAGATTTAGTATTTCATCTAAAGGCAGGCAGGTGGTGCCACACCCATTGACACCGGTTCCTACGAGACTTTTTAGTGCCAAGTAAAATTTTATATTTGTGGAATTACTTGGTGCGTTATTGTGATTTTAGTAGTTTCGAATATAACTGTTTTATGGGAAGTAGACGGGGTTATTATTCGATTTTATCCATTCTGACACTGCTTGAAAAGAAGCCAAAAGGATTTACCCAAAGCAAATTTAGTTGATCTAACTCTAGTAGATTATTAAATCGTAGGTTGTTCAACAAGTTTTGTCGTTGGATAATAAGAAAAACACAATTTTATGATCAAAATACACTTTATTATTCAGTACAATCTCCCTGTACATTAATACGTTTACTCCAACGATCCTCCAATCTGTGAATTCCATTTCTAAAGTGAAAATCCGGAAGGTCAGTAAAATACGTTTCAACAGCCATTATGACCTCTTCTTTTGATGAAAAACGTTTGCCAACCATACATTTTTTGAGTTCTGAAAACAAATGGAAGTCGCAGGGGCCCAAAACTGTTGGATCCGATGGATGCTTCAACCCGTTCCCACGACAGTCGGGTCTACGAAAACCGGAACGGACCCGGATTTTTATCCGGCCAAGGACTGTCAATTCGGCAGAACTCTGCCGTTACAACAACAACAACAACATGGATGCTTCAACAATTCGAACTTTAATTCATCGAATTTAGCCATTACCAAAATAATCTTGTGATGATGAAAAAGGATTTTTTTTCTTCTACAAACCGGGTCTTTTCCACGATTTTTTTTTCAACTGGTTCAAAAGGAATATAATATTCAGAATTAATTGTTTTACCAGTTTGAAAGTACTCCACAAAAAAAAATTCCTCTAGAAATCCAAAACAACAGTTACCACAACTTTCTTTGCCGATTTCTGTACACGAACTCGTTTCGAAGCCGAACAACTAGGTTCACACCATTCTTTAGCCTCTCGTTTTGATTCAGCATCATGGTGATAGACCCAAGTCTCATCCATAGTGATGCATCGATGCACAAAATCCACTTTATCCCTGATCCAAATGTTGCTGAAAAAGTCGCATTCGAATGTGTTTTTGTTCCATTGTTAGCGAAGGCGGCACCCATTGTGCACACGCTTTTCAAAACCCCAACATTTCACTTAAAATACGGCTCACACTGCCGAAGGAGATGTCTAGAGCCTCTACTAAATCTCTCTCAGTCAATCAACGATGTTCCAAAACCATATCCTGTATTTTGGCTATGATTTCTGTTGTTGATGCGCTTTTTGGACGTCCTTCATGTGGATCGTCTTTAATCTTTGTACGACCACGTTTAAATGCAGTAACCCATCTTTCTACTGCTCTAATTGTAGGTGAATAATAATTATACACGTTTAGCATTACTTCGGGAATTTCTTTTGGTGCTGCACCTACCAAAAATAAGAATTTTATCACTGTACCATATAAATTTTTCCATTGGAAATAAATATTGTGACACGACGACACTAAATGGTAAACAAAGAATGAGTTGAGTTGAGTTGTTGAAATGAAACTTCTCATACGTTCATATGAAGAGTGTACAAANATAAAATAAAAATTAAAAAAATGGTATGTACATTAAATACCACTTTTAAAGAAATTTCAGACCGCAGGTATTCCTAAAAACTGGTAGAGAACCAAACAAGAGGGTGAATTTTAGTTTTCGGCTTAATTATAGCTTTCACTGACGGCATTTTGTGCATGTTGCAATGTTCCGATTCAGTCCATTTGGAATACTAACCTCTCTTGAGTGAGAACGAACATCAATTTCGTTAAAATACCTTAAGAAGTAAACAAATGTATTTGTATATTTATATATATTCAAGATGTTAAAGATGTTTAGATTATATATTTCAGTTGCAATTTTTGCATTTATTTTATATGGTATTATTCAAAAATTTACAATTTAAATATTTTTTCTTTCCATTGAACTATTTACAGCGCTATTAAACTAAGTGGAGTACGTGCGTATGTAAATGCACCCACAATAATGGGCTTACGACCAATAAACTGTAAAATTTGGTAATGGTGCGCGCAACTCAGTCAAAGTATTATTACATATTTTACTCTAAAATATAATAAAGACAATATGGGAATATTGAAATTCGAGAAAAATCTATATAAAACTAAAAGCTCAACAAAGTAAGAGATGAGAGAATTCTTTTAAATAAAATATTTTCGCTATTAAGAAACAATTTGTAGTTTTTTATAAATGTTTTCCAACCTATTGCAGAAATCAATATTGCATATTGGTTAAACTGAGTATACCTTAATCTAACAATAAATTGCTTTCAAACTGCGTCAGAAGCAAGCTTCGAAATTTCGAACATCGTGTAATGGACATTGACAACTTCGGAAAAATGTGTAGTACTTACTCGATATAAATGTGATTTCACTGAGCATTATCCAACGTGCCGCGAAGTACAAATGCAACTGTAAATATTTTCCTAGGCGATGATGAAGTTTGATTGTCACATCACGTGCATGATCCAGTATAGTATCAGGCATGTAAGAGAATTGTACAGGTTCACCGGCATATTGACGACCGCCAATGCTGAAGAAGACTTTTGCGTGGACAAAAACCTGGAAACCATAAAAGGAAGAAAGAAAGATTTTATTATTTAATTACATTATTATTTGCAAGACTTGTTTTGAAATTAATATCTACTGATACGAGCAAGAATCCGCCACAAAAACCAGTTTAACGGTAGTTACAGATCATGTTACAACTTTCTTAGTAAAAAAAAATATTCACAGTTGAAATGAACCGATATTATAAATATCGATTTTTATATTACTTGCAAGAATATAGCAACTTCACCGTGATTACTCAGATTAATAGTGGACAAAACGTTTCGTAAAGGATATCAACTATTTAGTATATAGTACATAAACTTAAAAAATACAGTCCCGTTAGGAACCTCAATTCTAACTCTGGAATCTCGATTGAATTTTAAAACCTCTGATTCATTCAAGTCGTTTCTGCTTCCATTAGTAACATGAAAATATATCAAAGAGCTGCATATAGACCAGTTTTGGTCCAGATGGAGTTCAGTTATTAGGTCTCTAAGGAATAGTCATACTTTAGAATGCCAGCGCTTAACGTGGATTGTAACATACTCTGGTGGCTCCAGATGCCAGATGCTTACGAATTGATATTTCCAATGCGGGAAAAGTGTACAAAAGATACTCCATTGTTTCCCTGATGCGTTGCTCTAGACATTTCCTGCAGGCAGTCTTCTCGATCTGTCAAATCACCATATCGTCGTATAATAAATTAATGGGTTTCCCAATATTGATCACATTTTTGGGCATTCTGGCCAATCTCGTCCACAATTTCTTTGCCCTCGATGCCTTTGCGGTCTGGCACGCTGTAGGATTGAAGTTGCTTGCCTCTGGCAACACTTTCCACTGCTGCCCTGCTTTCCAAGACACTTCTTACCGATATGTAATACGAAGTTACTGCTTTGATTGCTGCTTGGCTGTCTACGTAGATGTTGACTCTGAAATTGTGTGCAGGTGCATTAGAGGCCAGCTCCGTGGTACTAGGTAGATAATATACCTTTTCTAGTCATCATGATTTTCTTCGTTAAGAAGGTTCTTCCCTGTCGAAAAGTGGGATCATGTAGTCGGTGTTTGCCAAACCACTTTACCCACCGAAATATGCCCGAGGGTTCTATATGTAAATTCTCTTGCAGCCAGTAGTCGTCCCGCCGATTTTGCTGCGCAGTTTTGAGCGAAGTAGTCTATAGCTGGCTGTCCAATCCTACCCTAAGGTACTTGGCACGGTCCTGGAGATGGAGTAGTGTCCACTTTATAGTTGGGAACCTCTATAGAAAAAATTTATGCTTTCTTGTGAACATCAGTAGATCCATTTACTCTAGGTTCAACGCCAGAACCGCTCGTGTTGTCCAGTTCTGGATAGTGGTGGTCATAATACTGCTAATTTTCTGCAGACACCTTCCCATTATTAAGATGCCGATGTCGTCCGCATATGCCACTATCTTATGGGCTTTGCTTTCCAGGTTCTGTAGCAGTTTATTCATCACTAATGTCCATAGAAGCGAAGATGGTTCCACACCTTGGAGAGTACCTATAGAACTGCAACTCTACAAACTTCTTTGGTCATTTTAAAGTCGTTCTGCTTTTATCCGTCCATAGGTCAAAAGGTTTCTGATCCAGCGTTGTATAGCAGGATTAACACCTATTGACTGGATACTGTTCAGAATAGAGTCCATAGAGACGTTGTTGAATACTCCAGAAAGTCCAGGAATGTTTCAAGAGCATATTCTTGATATTCAAGGGCCCTTTCGATATTAAATAACAGTGTATGGATTGCAGTCTCTACTGATCTACCCTTCATATATTCGTTCTGCACCTTGGCCAAACGGTCCTAATGTGCGTGTCCAAGATTTTCTTCAGCGTAAGTAAAACATCATCAACTTTTTGAAAGTCCGAACACCCTACAATTTTTCCCTATTAGGTTAAGTTATGCCGCAGATTTGAAATACGACGGCTAACAAAAGGTTTCAAGACCGGATTCATTCATCTAGTGACTGATGCCCAGAGCGTACGAAGATTATGGAGGAGCACCAGAAGATGGTGAATCCGATTCCTTAATCGATGACGGTGGGCCGGACGTCTTATTGCAAGTGCATGAAGAAGTTCGAATAGCAAATACTCGTCTCCACAAAAAGGGATAAGTCTCCTCAACATTGCATATAAGGCCTATCGAGCGTCCTGTGTGAAAGATTAAAGCCTTCCGTAAATAAACTAATTGTAGCTATTATTTATTCCATAATTTATATATTTTCTTTATTAATTAAAACCGAATAATATAATTTAATTATATCATATATATATTTATTATTATAGTGTATATTCTGTCACATCCAAATGATATTTATAGCAGTGTCTCTGAATAACTTGCAAATAACGATGTTAGTCAGCAGTTGTACACCCTATTGGACTTAGGCATTTATCGCTTGTTATTCGATATTTACATTTCTGAAGGGCGTATAAATAACGGAGCAACGTCGAGTCGTATATCAATTAGGTAGGCACGAGCAGGGCGACAGTTGATCGTCACAAATCAATCAGTGCTCTTATGTTTTATAGCTAGCTAGTGTATAAAGCGGAGAGGGGTCGGAGGATGAGCATTTCAAAACAAATTGAGGAGAGAAAAGTGAGGTGGTTGATAATAAATAACTGCACTCTGATTATATGTGATTGTTATCAAAGTATAATGAAGCGATATAATATGTGCAGATTCTAGGACAGTTTGATTGCTTATAAATAATTTACGATGTATACTGTATGTAATGTACTAATGTAAGTCGTATAGAGTATATGTACATTTATTTAACTTTGCATATAATCTCCTTTTTCCTCGCTATACTTTTCTCTTGACATTTCATAAAACGAAAAAAAAAAAAAAAAAAAAAACAACTGTAATGAATAATGAAATTGTTCAAAGCAGTAAAAAACCACCACCTCTACACCAGAATAAACGTTGAAACCACCGTTATGCGGTGGAAATGGAAACTGTATCGGGTCCATAAACTGCACAAATTTTATTGACGGCTTGAGATGCAATTTTGTACTGTAAAATATGCCGTATTTTCTCTTTATTTTCTTCCATGTTTGCAACGCTATAACTCACGAACGGCTTAAAAGAAATGACAATCAATCAAACACAACACAGCCCGTGAAATGAGCATTCCAGAAAGGTATAGCATGACCCGAGGCGACGAATAAAACTGGAACTACGCGTTCTCAGCGCCAATTAGCGAAAATACCGCAAGACTTTTTTGACAACCATATAATTGCTTTGAGATTCAACTTGATAAGCATACAAGTGCAACATGCGTTTGCTTATGGAATTTAGGTCGCACTCATACAAATACCGTTAAGCGCAAAGCGGTCGGAAAAAATCATTATGCGCAAACTTATATTTTGCTCGTTGTTATTACTTGCTGACAATAGAACTTGTTGGATTAAGGTATGTACTTATGTTTATATGTTACTTTTGCATCTTTATTGTTTTGACTTTTGTTGTTTTCATATATTTCTTTACCTGCACAGTAAGTAAAAGTGGGTTTCCATAACATGAGATATTGGCATGGGGCCTGAAACTTTGGAGCATCTGCTTCTACCTTCTACATTCTGTTATAAGCACGATCCACTTATCTCAGCAGGTAACACATTATAAGGGTGTTGACTTTATGTGAGTCTTTGTGTAGGAGGGAAAAGCCTTATAGACCATATTTAGAAAATGAAAAATAAAATAATTAATGGTAAATTAATAACAATAATTTTTAAAAGCAGAACTAAAGGTGTGATTGTTATGGAAATGATGACAATTTTATCGGCGTACGCCAGCAGTTGTACAGTTTTATAGAATATTGTGCGTTCTCTATTTGTATACGCAACTAGAATTATTCTCTCTAGGAGTAAGTTGAAGTCGTCGCACGATAGGCAGTGGTTTTATAAAACTTTGTTTTGTTGTTCCCGATCCTGACGGAGTTTCTAGTATTGCTCAACATCTGTTTATACAGCCGTATTAATTTTGAGGGGAAACTCAATTGCTATTTGAACTTCTTTTTGGTGGAGCAATTGAAAGTCTGCTCCATCGTCATCGTCCAATCGGGTTCACCATCTCTAGCTGTTATGTTTTAACTGCTATTCAGCAGTTTGGAGAAGTATTCTCTCCTCTGTTTGCTCTGGGCATCAGTCACTTACCACATATGGGGTTCTACAAGACTAAGCTCCAGTCTTCGGTCGGACAGCTCTCTTTGTGTGTGTTGTTGTGAGGTGGGCAGACTGTTTTCTCTCCACTGTTACACGGAATTTATTATCTTACCAGGAGTTACTTACTCATAATTGTAAAACTTGGTTTGAGTTCTTGTACAAAAGTAACTAGGCCTCCTATTTTGCCACAGTTTAAGAGAAGAACTTATCAGTGATCGTTACCAAAGGTTTTGAAGATGTCAAGGTGAGAGATTCGAGCCTGGCCGAGGTTTAAAATATAATATAACTGATCAAAATTCACTTGGATTTAGCCATTTAAACTGCACTTGCAAACTGAATCAATACACGATTTTTCGATTTATTTGGTTTAATTATTTTTTATGTTGTATGAGAGTATGGAGAATTTTTTACACAAAAGCGAACAAGTTCGAAGGTTGGAGGCATAACCTTATGCCCATAGTTTGGTGGGATTAAATCGTAAAGTCGTAAATACAATAGATTTCCTATAAATTTATATAATTTTTATGAGTAGTTGGTTTACTTTTGAAAATATTTCCATTTGTATGTATAACATTATTTAAGCGAATAAATCTCACCTGCACATCTTTGGAGAACATATTATTTGTGTGCAATATAACTGCACTAAAATTCCGTACGCTTTCGAACTCAAACGTAATCTCGACTGGATGACCCAATAGATTTGGTGTGTCATTACGCCAGCCAATCCACTCATAGCCTGGGAATCAACAAAAATTAGAGATAAAATAGTAATTTATTAATTAATAAATGGCAAGCGATACATACTTATATAAAATATATTGTATCTGTGTACTTTTCTTGGTTTTTTATAGCAGTACATTATATTTTATAATTAAGTATTACGCAACATACCTTTTCCAAAGCCATGTATATCGGTGCGAAAGTTATCCTTGCCCTTTTGTCCATCGACTAATTGCCCCAGCCCATTAACAAAACGATCGCCCTCTTCATGCCCGTCATAAGTCTTATCTGATAGATCGATTTCCATGCCACGCTGTACGCCTTTGGGTATGCTATATGAAACGATGCCGTCTGTTGGAAGTATGAATGACAAAAAAGGTATAATTAGTAATATTTTTTTGTTTTGTATTGAATGGCTTATATTATTTATGGTCGGAAGTAACAATAATAAAACAATATTTTTATAAAAAACATTTTGTAAGAAAAATTAATCTAAAGGGTTTCTCAATAAGAGCGCTACAAAACTCCGGTTTGCGATATCAATGAAATTCTTTAAGTATATTCGATGCCATTACGAACGGATTTCGATTTTGCATGGCCACCATGGACACGCTTGCAGAAGAGAAGTCCAGTGTCTGGTCATTCGACGGTTTTCAAACATAAATTGGCCGATACTGCTGCAATTTCAGGTTCGATATTTGTACCAAATTCATTAATCGTCGCTGGCTTGTTGGCATAGACTACAGATGTGACGTAGAATCATTTTTAAGTTGTTGCTCAGCCCAATTCATGAACATAGACGATCCTGGTGGTCAAGAGGCTTCAGTTCTTGGGCCAATTTGATCTTCTATTGTAAGACAAGATCTTTTCGCAAAATTCCCAACGCTTGAGAACGCCGTGTGAGGGACAGATTTGTATACCATTTGATGACAGCAATATTCTTGACACTATGGACACTTCTTTGTTTCATTGGCACGGAAACAATTTGTACTGTGCCTGCGAATTCAAGTTTTTCCAAGAGACGCTCAATTATTGATCTGATATTTCGATAGAAAATTTCGGTAACAAATTTTAATAATTTCGACTCGTTGTTGACTCGTATATGATGATATCGCAAATTCCACTAAAAAGAAATGTCAAAAGATCGAGGTCTACCTCTGTACCGTCTCTATTGAAAACCCCGTTATTTGAGATCTGGTCAAACGGTAAAATTTGGCTGAAATCGTCTACTGTACTGCATAAATCGCAATCAGTGAGTTTCTCGCTTTCAGCGGGATTCAGCTTACCCTAGTGGTAGGGTTCCAAGTGATAATTTAACTATTGCTGTCCAAGTGGTGAATATAAAAATCATGCAGGATGTAATTATCAATATTCTTTTTGGAAAAAAATTTATTATTAGTGTTATTTCAAAAATTTTTTCGAACTCTCCCATTGGAGCAAAACATTGCTTAAAATACTAATGTTTTCACAGCTGTTACAAGCAGAATTTTGATTTAATGGGGGCACGATCACTACATGAACAAGTTTCTGCAGTTTTCTGACACCTTTAGCTCTCAGGTTGGGATATTTACTTCGAAAACTAACTTCTAAATCAAGTTGAAGTTGAGGGAGTATTTGAAGTTTTCCTATTTACTCAGTAGGTAATCAATTGATTATCTTTATATCGTCACCTGAAATACAAAATAACGTAACAACATTTTCGGAAATTTACAGTGGCATGAATTAAACACGACATAAAATGGAGAATGAGTAAAAAAATTTTTTAATATTGGTTAAAACTGGGTTATATCTGAGCGCAGAACCTGAAAACATTGGACATATATAATATTATGTATGTAATTTGAAGTAGTGAATCATAGTCAATAAGACACTCAATTTCGAATTTTTTGATGATATGTTATTTTGCCTTTCAGGTGACGATATACAACTAGAGAACCCGTCCACGCTTTACTGTAGCTGATACAAAGATCGTACTACTAATACTTTCTATATAATTTCTGTTAGTTAGATTATAATTACTAATTAATGAGAAGGTGACACAACTTTTTTATTTTTGTGTTCCACAAAACACTTTTGTAACATTATCAACGTTTCCGTAGACGTGACTCCATTGAAAATACAAAACTTCAATTGAACTCGTTGTTAATTTTTTCATGCTAAAACCGTCAGAAGAATTTTTCGGATATTGAACTATAAAGTTGTTAACTATATACAGTGATATGTGGAGCTCAAGCTGCACAAAAACGTAGGAATGGCACAATGGACCAGTCTGGGTCAAATCTGATCAGAAGCTAAATACTAGCTGTGTTCGTTACGCCAAGCGTTGGAGAGTACTAAATCAAATAATCCATACCAGTTTTCCTGCAAACTTGCATAGCAATCCTGCGCTACCATGTCATTTGATATAATAATGTGAGCAAGACTATTTAAATTAAAATTCGTGCGATAACCCATTTAACGAAATACTATTTTTTTAGGTTGGTACGACTGCAGTGACATCTGTGTCAAATGTCACATCAAAATTATCATTAGTGTCTAGTATACGCTTTTCTCTCTGAAGTACATAAAGTACATTCGGCGCTTTTTACGATGAGTGAAATTACTGAAAAAAATTTCAGTAAATTATGTGTGCGGAATCAAATTTTGTCGCCGAAATATTCAGAATGTTGGAAAAGGCTTTCCGGAAATCAAGTGTTTTTGATTTGTACAAATACTTCAAAGAGGGTCGAGAATACGTTGACGACGAACCACGACCAGGATGGCCATCAACATTATCTGATGATCAACACGTCAATGAAATAAAGCTATTGGTGCTTGAGGATCGACGATTAACAGCCAGAGATCTTACTAGGATCGGTAGAACGTCGAGAGGATCAGTAAAAACCATTTTGAAAGATCGTTGGACATAAGAAAAGTGAAAGTACGATTGGTTTCAAAATAACTAAATTTTTTCAAAAAAACAGCGTCGTGTTCACGTTTGGGAAACTATGCTTTCCGACAACCAAAATGTCATAAAATGTAGTATTACAGAGGTGGAGTCTTGGATTTATGCTTACGACCAGGAAACAGATGACCAATCGGTCGAATAGAGTAACAAAGGTGAGCCTAAATCAAAGCAGGTCAAGAGTTAAGAGAATGTTGACAGTTTTCTTCGGTTATTGAAGTATGATGCACTCCGATTGCTTTTCGATCGCCCAAATTGTCAACAACGATTACTATTTGAGTATTAGGGGTAATTTGCGGGAAGTTATTCATAAAAAGAGACCGGAATTATGATGCGACAACTCTTGGTTTATGCACCACGTTAAGATTCTTCGTAATTTTTTCAGCAAATTTTCAACCAATATTGCTTGATTTATCTCCGGGTGAGTTTTGGCTATTCAGCAAACTTAAACGACCGCTCCGGGCACACCGTCTTTAAACTTTAGAGATACGTGTCGTTATGTGAGCTGCTAAAAGTGAGTTTTTCGTTTTTAGCGATGTCGAAATTTGTTGAGCAAATAATTTGCATTAAATTTTTTTACGGAATCAATTTTCTGCTTCGGATACGTTGAGGATGGTGCAGAAAGCCTTTGGTGACGAGGCTCGAAAAACTCAGCCAATACGATTTTGAAGGATGTTTTGGGCCTCAAGCGGGTCAAAAATCGACTGGTACTGAAAACATTGAATTTTTTGGAAAAAAGACGTCGCGTTGAAGTGTGTGAAACGATGCTTTCCGACTAACAGGGTGTCAAGAAACGCATTATAACTGGCGATTAGATTTGGATCTATGCTTACGACCCCGAAACAACCCTTCAATCAATCGAATATCGTGCCAAAAGAGAGCCGAGACCAAAAAAATCGCGTCAAAGTCGCTCAAAAATCAAGGTCATGTTGATTGCTTTCTTCGATTATCGTGGTGTTGTGCACTATGAATTCCATCCAACCGGTCAAACAGTCAACAAGGAATATTATTTGAACGTTGTGCGTCGTTTGTGTAACGCTATCCGCCTAAAAAGGCCGGAATTGTGGAAAGACAATTCTTGATTTTTACACCACGATAATGCACCATCCCATATTGTCCTCGTAATTTGTGATAATTTCGCCAAAAACTCAACTTATATCGTTCCGCAACCACCGTATTCACCTGATCCGTCGACGTGCAACTTCTGGCTATTCACAATGCTCAAAAGACCGTTTGTATAAGTGCATTGCATCGGGAGGGGATTACTTTGAAGGGGATGAAATTGATTTGGAAGAATAAATAAAGAATTTTCAAAATAAATACAATGTCACCTTATGGAAGAGTGTTGCCGTTCTTTTGTTGAATACGTGAATTCTCATTTTTTAAACTCATTTGTCTTAGGACTTGGTCTAAAATATAGATGGATGAAACTAGATATAGCCGTTGCACCACTTTAATGATATATGCTCATACTCTTCTGCATCAAATTAACGCGACAGTTTTGTTATCGCTTTTATCGAACATTATCGCTGTAAAATCGAACATGTGAAGATAGTGAGCACAGAAATCGCCAAATTAAAGCCATTACTATTTACTACTCTACACTACTAATCTTGTTTTATAATTAGCTTTAGAAATAATAAGCTTCTTAAACTGACATTGTTTATATTTTACTTTTCTTACTTTCTTTGAAAGTAGTCTTCAAAGAGCGCTCCCTTGCAACAGTACTGTCTGCATAGTATTCTGAACAGCGTTTCTTTTAAACACAACTAACAGATAAAAATTCGACTCACACATGCAAACACACACACATAAGCAAACAAACTGCCGGAATCGCACACTTAGGACGCTAATCAATAATTCATTTATTCAAAAGTCAAATGTGTGACAGCGTAAGCGATTCAGTGCCAATCGAGTGGTACTCTTCATTGCTCCCCAGTCACCATTTGCCATTTGCATCAAATATGTATTGACAGCAAAATGTTGCATTTGCATGCGATTGTTTTGACAAGGTTGAAAGCAAAATATAGTTTTGTTTTTTGTGTTGCTTTTGGTTTCTATGCTGGAGAAGTGTTGTTTCATGCACCGATTGATTTACAGTTGCAAAATTCATGTGTCAAAATGGATAACAAACTACCTGCATGTTTGAGTGCGTGTGTAGGTAGATGGTTGCATGTGTTGCGAGTTTAAGATATTTTATCTCGTATGCACAGAACGACAAGTTGATGTGTTTTAATGGAAATCGTGCGACTGCATAACTAAACACACATATTCAGGTTATTTACTTATATCTGTCAGCATTAGAGATTTGAATAGATAACTAGACGCAAGTGGTATGTGGCTAGTGGATTGAGCCACAAGTAGAAGTTCACGTAAGTGGGGAAAGTTCTCTGAGCGCCATTCACTTGGGAGTAACCGGAAATGTTTCTTTTACATATGGTTCTAGAAGCTCACGACTTCCGGTCTTAGACCAAGTAACCTCTGGGAAGCCAGAAAATATCTGTTTGAAAGCCAGCTAAAGTGAGAAGGCGAATCATATGAGTGCGGAAGAATAAATATGTGGCTATAGCTGAAAGGGCCAATAAAACGCCAAAACTTCTTCAAAAATGAGCTAACATCACTCTACCACGTTATCGGTGTCTAACATAAGCATCTTACTTCAGCATTTTATCTGGATTTAAAGATATTTCTGTTCTATCATGGACTATCGGTATGCAGGAAACACTTCTCCAGCCTGCTGAAAGGTAGTGAAACTATAACATCCGGAAACGGTGAATCCGATTCCACTATCGATGACGAAATTGAAGGTGCTTGTATCAGTTTCTTTCCAAAATATGGTCGGAAGAAAACGTACCCGACAATTGGGACCTTTGTGTGGTCTGCCCAATCTACAAAATAGGGACCGCACACTCTGTGACCCTAAGCCTTCTTTATAACGCACATATGGTCTTTTCGACCGTCAACAAATTGATTGGATCTTATCAGTGTGTCCTTAGACCGGGAAAATCTACAAACGACCAAATTTTCAGCATGCATTAATTCTTGAAAAAGATACATAAAAATACGATCAAAACACCACCTCTTCCTCGACTGTAATGATATTTTTGACAGCCCAATAACTAGCTGCCTTTTTGCAGCCGGCTGTGTAAGCTGACGTTGAGCAACACCAAGAGCTCCATCAAGATCGGGAGCCATTCAATACCAAGCGAAATTTCAAATGCCAAGGATACTCCCTACCTAACTAAATGTTGCAGTAAATAATACGATCTGTTGCGGAAGTACAGTCTTTTATAAGAGTATACGTCTTTTGGCGTACGTCGATGATACGGTTATCATTAGCCTCAACATCCGCGACGATTATTCTGCTTTCTCCGGAGTGCATAGAGACGTCAAAGGTGTGGGTCTGGTTGTTAACACTGACTGTCTCTTGTTATTAAATAAACAGTCATCGCATTCGCGACTTGGCTTGCAAGTCACTGTTCACAGTCATAAATCTGAAGTCGTAGATAATTTCGTCTAACTTGGAACATGGAACTTGGTATCAACACAAAGAACAATGTCAGTTTCGAAATCCAATGCAGAATCACTCTTGCCATTGCCAACAGGCCCTACTTTGGACTAAGTAGTCAATTGAAAAGTAAAGTCCTCTCCCTCATCATTCCCGTTCTGCCATGCGGTGCTGAGGCATGGATAATGACAACTTCTGATTAGTCAGCCTTAGGAGTATATAGTCCTCAGCGCAATGGCAACGGCGAGTACCACAGTCGATGCAACGGTGAGCTGTATGATATATTGAAGGTTTTCGATTCAGCACCCGCCAGTGGAATAGTTTTAAAATGTATATTGGTATGAAACTCATGCATTTCGTAAAGTTGTTCTATAAGTTTTAGATCTCTACGGTATGATTGGCGTGTCTACCGAAGTTTGGATTGCTGTTTTTGCTTAAAGAATGGTGAAAAAAGAAAAACACTTTCCTACAAAATTCACAGGCGAATTTCTTATAATATGATGATATAAAAATACGTTTTTCTTGATTTTGATGTGGCATTTTCAATTCCAACTTTACGCTATAGTAGTTTGGACTGAATAATTTGCTTGAAAATTGTATCTCTAAATTGGATAGCTTCTTAGGAAATAAAGGACAGGTACCAAATTTCGATCGGTACCTTGAAAGCGGAAGATCCTGTTCACTTATATACAAACATACGGACCTGGCAAACCTAATATACACTGATTAGTGCCTATATACATGTTATTCGATGGAATCGAAAAAAAAAAAAAATGTATAGTTTTACTCACCTTCCCATAGGCAACCGACCACTTCAGCGCGCAAGCAGACAGTACGATCATATTGGCTATATGGATAAATCCGCACCTTCGAGGCGAAAATGATCGGCTGCAAAATGTTTTCCACTTCACTATAAGTATTTATATTGCCTGTTAGTATCTGAAAGAGCAAAATTAAAAATGGGCATTATTATTATATTATATTATATTAGTATGGGACGTAACTGGTAGATAATTACAAAGATTCTGTGGAATATATATTTACTTATATATAAAAAGTTATTATATTAATAAACAACTATTTGTGCAAGAATGAATATATGAGTACTCAAAGTTTATTTGGACGTTAAAAATACATTCGAAATCTCGGCATTCTTTTTAGTCACTCTTTTACCTGTCTCTTGCACACCCGGCATATTTCGTAAAATAAAATATATTGCTAGGTGTAACATTCATAATTTTTGTGCCGTAACACCTACGCAATTTATGCTACACGCATGCAAAATTTTCACAAGCCACAGACCAAAGGCAGCGGACTGCAACAAGGTAAAGAGCGAAATATAATAATCCAAAAATAGTTGTTGCGGGCGTAACGAAATCTCACTAGCGCAAAGCGAAAAATTAAAGAAAGGCGTGCTCTAGGCTAGCACACAGCCCAGACGCAAGCTCGCGCCAACAACGAAGATACTTGCAGTTTTGGCATGTGATTTTTATCGCTTTGATTAATGTGTGAATATATGGGCGAGTGAACGGACGTTTGTCGAAGTTTCGAATTTCATGGCCTAAAGCTAAGACGATAATAAGAGGCGTGTAAGGTATAAGGTTAAAGTAAATATACACCTGGAAATAAATATTTCAATATGTGTTTAGGTATAAGTAGGAAAAGATGCAGGCAGTTTGTAAATTTTTTTTTTTTTTTGGCGTAAATTGTTGGAGGAGAAAAACATTTGTGGGAGACAATGAAATTGCAGACATTAACCAAGTGGCTATTGTATACCCATATATAGATATAACATAAGGTCTAAATATACTCGTATGGCGGGCGATTTTAGGTAGCGTATATATTTGTACAGCACTTACATATTTATTAACTTTTAGAGATATAATTTTAGCTCATAATTTGTCAAATAGAAAAATGTTTTACATATGTTTTATTGATTTCATAATTAACTAGAAGCTCGACCTTCTTAAGCGACATCGCTTTGCTCTATTGGCTCTTGAAAAGTTCCAAGAAGATCCGACGTTTTCGAGCCAAATTTTGTTCAGCGATGAGGCCTATTTCTGGCTCAATGGGTATATTAACAAGCAAAATTGCCACATTTGGGAAAAGAGCAACTTGAAGAGAGTTAAGAGCTGTTATCTCAGCCAGAATAAAACAATAGGTTTGTGTAGTTAGTGGACCATTGGAATCATCGATCCATATTTCTTCAACCGACTATATGATGCTGAAAATTAAAGCTCACGATTTTTGCGACATTTGTTTTCAACAAGACGGCCCCACTACCCACTCATTAAATTTGAAGTTTCAATGTGTTTTCTTCAAAAAGTCTTTGTGAAGCCATAAAATACAAGGTGCATTCCAAAGTAAACAGGACTTTTTGAATCTAGCACCCCCTGGTGGCGTCATCTATATTTCGACTGGTGCGTTAGAATTTTCTGTCTTAATGGATTGTCCAGTGAAAAATGTTCATGACATTTCATTGATTGGAAGTGAAGTTATTGCGTTTTAAGTGTCGGTGTGTTTGTGTTATCGGTGCGAAAATGAGCTTCGAACAAAGAGCCAACATTAAATTTTGTTTTACAATTGGTAAAACTTTTAGCGATACCTTTCAATTGATGAAACAAGTTTATGGCTTCTGAGACTATTTTGAATGAAGTAAATTGATTTTGCGTGAAAAACTATTTGTTCTGTTTTTTTTTTAAGTACCAACCTACCCAATACCTCATGTTTTATATTAGAGTCGCACTTGTATTACCACAATATATATAGTCTTTTGTGAAGCCATTAAATTTAATAAACCTAAAATCAGATCTTATGAGTCGATAAACCACCTAGAGGTCATTACAAACCTACACATTTTTTTCTAATCTTACCAGCTCAGCTGATTGTCTGAATGTACGTGTGAGCTCCCAAAGTGTTTAATGCCTGATCTCTCAAAGAGGAGAAATATTCCAGAAGATTGTGATGCTTCCAGAAGGCAGTTAATGCCTTCTTTGATCTCTGAAGGCATTGCTTGCCTTAGAAAGGCATTTCAACCTTCTGAACTATCGATTGTTTTCGATGTTAACCTTCCTATCTAGAATCAGGACAAAATATTTCTCCGTATCCACAGACAAAAGGCCTACAGAGGTTTCTCTTTCGCGGTAGTGATGCTCCCGATATTTTATATATTATAGTTCATAAAACCATCTCAGTTATTTGAAGTAATGGTGAGGACGGATGGATGCCAACTGAGTTAAGATGCTGAGATACCATTTCATCAACTCATATGCGGAAGTCAGGAAATTTTCCTTAACCATGAGGCTATAAATCATGCTGCGTAACTTGTAAACGGTCTTTCGAGACGTCCCAAAAGAGAGAGGTTGAACAGTATAAAGTACTTGGCTGAAGCATGAAAGCTTTTACCCGTTTTCGGCATGAACGTAACTGAGGCCCGTTCTTGGTTTTAATTTGGTTTTTGGTCTGTTGTGTTTGTTAGAGAGATAAAGAAAAAAAATCAAAATATTCCATATATTAGACCTTTTCTTAAAGTTCAAAGTTTGGCTACTTTTGATCATGATGGAAGTGAGTGAGAAAGGAAAACATAGTATTTGTATATTTTCCTTCCTTTCTAAATCAAGAGTAACTATGGACCATAAGCTCCAGTTCAGTCTTTATAAAATGGTGAAAGGTGCTATTAGCTTTGTTAAACGATGTTCTAGGGATTCGTATGTTAAAACTCGTTTCATAACTAGGGTTAGGCATATATTTGAATATAGGTGTGTTCTACGGAACCATCTTATTTATTTATTTATTTATTTATTAAAGGAAATACAATTATGAATAATTATACTACCTATGAAATATAAAAGCCGTACGGAACCATAGTTACCTAATTCACTCTGACAAGTTAAAGTCCGTTCAAAATCCGTTTTAATTTTTTGGATTAGATCATTTTCAATTGAATTCTCGATTAAGTCATTCTAAATACACAAGTTGTTTAAAAGTTCTTAATCTGCCTATAATTACTAGTCGTAGAGCAATACTTTGTATAATATTTTTAGTGAAATTCCTGAATGGATCAGAATGTAGTAAATGAAGAGAAGAGATTCTCTCGGAGTCTCGGAAGGGACTTTACTTTTCAATTGAACGAGCAATTCTGCGTTGCATTTAAAGGTTGATATTTTTGTTGGTGTTATGAATAGTTGCAAGATAGATGAAATTATCCACAGCTTCAAAGTTATGACTGTCAATAGCGATGTGCGGGCCAAGTAGCGACTGCGATGGCTGTTTGTTTGATAGCGGGAGATGTTTCGTCTTGAGCTCGTTCACAACCAGATCCATATACTTCGCTTCCTTATCTGGTCTGCAAGGAGCAGAAATATTATGCAAATTACTGAAGAAGTAACACCATATAGAGGCCCCATATCTGAAACCTCGCTTGATATCGAACGGCTCGGAGAGGCTTACGCAGTGTTATTAGATTTGCGGGGATGCCACGTTCAGACATAGCGGCTTAGAGACAGTTGCTTTTCTTACTCTCGAAGTCGGGTTTAAAATTTGCGAAGAGGTGGTGAATATAGATTCTTCTCACGGGCCTTTTCCTAGGTTTAGCGCATGATAACAGATTAGGTGGGAGTAAGGTAATCGTTGAGTTATTATTAATACACGAAAAATTGCGCACTTTGGTTTATTTTTCGTTTCGTAGCAAATGCTTCCAGTAGGTGGTCAAGAGATGAATGGGAATTATTCCGAAAATTTTTAGTGTTGAGAAAAATAAAAATTTTTCGAGCCACGTAATTCTATAGATTTTTGTTTCGAAGTTATTTAATGATGTTGATAGGTTCTAGCACATCGATATTTGGAACAAAATAGATAGTGTCTTTTAAAGTGAGTACAGCACTGGTGAACACTATAAGTAAAATAACTATTCACATATTTTTTAATAGACTTTTTCAAAATAAAAAAAAATTTAACAGCAGTTTTTTTATCTCATAATATTTGCGAAAAACTGGCTTTACAGAACATCGGCATAGACATTTTTGAAAATTCTGAAATTTTGCCAGTCTTTTTACAGATTTCATAGTCTCTTTCTGGACGTATTCATAATTCTTACTCACCTCTTTGCCTTGTATCGTTTTCCAGCGCAACCACTTCTCAAAGCCTGGCCGCCAATATTCGAGTACATACGCTTCGGTATATTCCTGACCTTGCCCTTTGCCAAAGCGACCCTGCGTACGTACCGCTGTGATGACATGCACTAGCAATAAGTCGATTTGCAGATACTCCTTGAGACCACGCGAGACCATATGCTTCGGGCACCAAGCGCCGCCATTATTATCCACCTTTAGTCTGCAAGCAAAAGCAAAAACAGCAGCGATTAATTTTAAAGCGAAAGTGAGTGAAAGCAAAATGAAACTTTAATATGCATGATTACAAAAAAGTAAAAAAGGAGAAAAAGCGATTTGTACGCATATCCTGCTTATGCATTCGAGTGATTAAAAAGTAGATTTAAAGCATATGCAAGTTTAATTAAAAACACTTTATGCTTCAGCGGAGCCGACGTGGCGCACACCTGCAATTATGTAATTTATGCGCTACTGCAATTAATCTATTTTTTATGCATTCATTATTAAGGTAATTCATTTATAATTGATACCCGACTATAATTACTATTAATTTTAATAATAAAAATAAATATTTTTATTTTGTGGCGCTTTTTTTTTGCGCGCTTTCTTTCACTGCCTGCCGATCCTGCCGATTGAGGTTTGCACAAATAGCTTATCGATTGCCGTTGCTGTAATTAATACTTTTATGCATTCGCTTTTCACCTTTTCGAGTTGAAAAACAGGGTGTATTAAAATGGTGTGTATAAAAAATTGTGTGCGCGAATCCAAACAACTAATTGCAAAAAGCATTTAATTTAAGCGGTCATTAAAGTGCGATTATCGACGTTGATAATTTAGCTTTTGTGGCGCTTGTGCAGTGGCAGGCTGTGCGGCAACAACAATAATCGCTACCAAATTAACAAAACCAACAAACGGCTATTTGGCGCGTATTGTGCGTGTTAACGGTAATTACTGGCATTACATATGCATTAATTAATGAACGTACTTGTTGGCATACATTCTATATATACATATGTGTGCGCTTATTGTTTATTTGTGTTGATAAGTAAGCCGCGTTTCGAGAGATAAAACTTTTTTCGTGGAAATTATTTCACATGTTCGAAAAACATTTTGGATTTCATGCATAGTAGTTAGATTGAAGGCGAAATGATATCCTTCAAGTAAGAAAACGAAAGCCGTGACTAATATTGGGTATTTTCGCTAGTTGGCGCTGAGAGCGCGTAGTTCTAGTTTTATTATATACTAGACTAGTGTCACAGCAACTGAACTGGTTTACATAGGAGCATTTTCTTTCAGAAACCGGACAAAAGTGAGAATTACGAACTGCAGCGATGCTAGTCAAAATTGATTTTTTTAGTACCTAAGTAACCATACTCTATAAACCGGTTATATGATCGTTCAGTAAGTACGTCCTTATTTTTTGCCTAACTATAGGGCATCTATTTATCATACAAACTTACATTTTTTTTCGCATATATCCACTGCTTTAAGAAAATCACGTTGAGCTGGTTATTCACTTGCATATAAAATGTACTGCTTTTATTTATTGCTTGGTTTTTTCTTTCAGCTTCAAAATCAAAAGAAATGTCTTGAAAAACATTATGTATGCTGTTTAAGGGGTTAGGGGGAGAATTCTCAGTATTTTTTTTTTTTTGTGCTATTAAATCGTGTTATTTTACAAAAGTGGTAATACGGCATTATTATAAAAAGTTTTGACTTGAAGACACGAAAATGAAAAAAACAAAAAAAAAAAAATATTAATTTCCAAAGTTATATTTGTTTGTGTTGACCTAGTTCCAAAAACAGGCGGTGACAACTATAAGTCCTTGGAGATTCATCTAAAATCAAAAAAAAAAAAAAAAAAAAAAAAAAAAAAAAAAAAAAAAAAAAAAAAAAAAAAAAAAAAAAAAAAAAAAAAAAAAAAAAAATAGTTGCGTGACAACCATAGGGACAAAAAAATTTAGTTTTATAATTAGATAATCCTGGGCCTGATCGAAGGATTTTTTTCTTCAAAAATTAACAAAACGGCGGCCTCAAGAAATTTGTTTCTAAGTTTTTGGGAGAGAATCAACAGTTAGTTGGTCTAAAAAAACGAAATTTTTGAGAAAACTAAAAACCTTTCGATTAGGTCCAAGTTTTTTATGTATTCTATAAGCTGTACATAATTTTTCATTAAAATCCACTGAGCGATTTTCGAGTTACAGTTATCACCAGTTCAAAAAACACAGTTTTAAGAAAAACGCTTTTAAAGAGTACCCAAAATGAATTTCAAACTTGAAATAAATCATAAATTAAAGCATTTCAAATCGGATTTAAGAAAGAAATTATACTAACAAAAGATTTATAAAAAAATATGAGGAATGGCTTAATGCTTCAATATTAGTACATAACTGGACGCCGAGTACTAAACCTAGAGTTGTTTGATCGTGTTAGTCTTCGGAAAACTAAAGACCTTCGGGAGCAGATACCTGTCCAGGAGCTTACTTATGCAGCTAGCGTTAGTTAAACGATGTCAGGTGATGCTGCTGCATCTAAACTCATAATAGTCTTTTATATTGAGGGAGTTCTTCAAAATTGGTAGACAAATTAGAAAAGCTTGAACTTATTTCAAAATGGTGTTGCGATGGTTCACATCAAGTTGTATATCAACAAATATTGTCGCTCGACAGCTCTCCTGACGATGACGACTCCAATATATTTCTGAATTCATTTTATTTTAATATCATTTTATTTTAATACGTCGCATTATTATATTAAATAATGTATTTTATTCAATTTCATTGATAAAATCACTTTAAATAATTTTGTCCGGTTTTTGAGAATACCAAATTAACGAAAAAACTTTAAACGTGCTTCTCTCTTTTTTCGATGCAGTTGCCACATTACCTTAAACTCAACTTATTTATTTGCAACATGTCGTGAATGTTTTAAAAAAATTCGAAAAAGTTAAGAAATTTGTGAAAAAATTTTTATTTATTTTTTGTTAGAAAAAATTTCTTTTTTTAATTTTGCAGCTCCTTGAAATAGTGATATTCACACCATTTGTACTAATCAATAATCATACTTTGTTTTATTTTTCACATAACTAGAAGGGTAGAAATCATGGCGACAAAGACATCGCCTTTCTATCTGAGATATAATATACCAAATGCTTTTATTTTATCAATTCCCAATAAACGCAGAAAATTCGGGCCTCTAGACTAGAATGCCTCTTTAACTTCTCAAAAAATTTAGATTTTTTTGAGAAGGTGAAGCTCCTATTGCATGTAACTAGACTATTTCTAGCTCTTAAAGGTCTAGCGAAAATAAATACATTACTTTTGTTTTAAATGAAGGGTTTTTTTTGTATAAAATTAGTGAGGCGAATTAGGTCAAATCTGCACCGCTTTGTTCAATAATTCTTTGTTATTTTTAAAACTGTTTTATAATGCCACTCTGCAAGAAACTTTTGCCCCAATAGACGAAAAACTGGGTCACTGGTCGTTAACGAGCACAATTCCACTAGTAAAATTATTTGCGATATTTAAGTTAACACTTGGCGCCAGGTGCCAATTATACATTGAATGCTTAAGAACTGCACAAACAAGCGATTTGCATAGCCTGGCATTGTCGTGATGAAAGATAATTCTTTTCACGAGGCTTACCATTTCGATAGACTTTTTATGGATTTATGTTGCTAATATGTGTGATATACTGCGAGAACTTGGGTCAATACATATATCGCAGGTTACATCATACTGGCAATAATCATATTATATATACACGATATAAAGACATTCGGAAGTTGCAGATAACAAAATTTTATAACTTTTCGTAATATCTCTTTGGTAAAAAGTGAGCCACAGGCACTGTACTTAAAATGAAATCAACTCTGTAAATTAAGAAACCTTTAGATCACTTTTAAGTTTGCTTCCAAAAGTTGCAAGATTTTACTGTCAACAAGTGTGGTATATTGTGAAAATCTATAAATTTCATTGATTTCGTATTTTGCATGCTATATTTTGTTGATAAATTGAATTTATAACGATTGGTATTGCTTTCCACACGTCAAACAGTTCGTATAAGCATTTTATTGATTACTTGGATATTCCAAAATATCTTTTTAAAAAGATTTTAAAAAATTTAAATTATTTTCGATAGCTATACCATTTTAGTTTCGTTTCAACTTGACCTTGACCTTGAACATATTTTTTCAGACTATTTTTTTTCGATGCTGCCATTGCTTTGCTTTACCCAATCGATTCGCTTATAATATGGCGGGAATTTTTTGTAAAATAAAGTAACAATCAATTCTATTTAATTGATCTGATCTATTTTGCAAAATTTATAAGAAATTCAAGAATGTAAAAAAATCTTCAAAATGTCGACCATTATTTTAGAGCAGACGCATTTTATAAAAATATTTTCTTTGTGTCGGCTTTGTCCGTCATTGCTTCATTTTTCGAAGGACCACAGTAGTAGAGAACGAACTTTTTTCGCCTTCTATTTCAAGAACGCATACCTTTAAAGAAGTTGTTTTTTTTTTGTTTGAAATTTATTTAAATTTATTTTGAAATATTGAAATATGAATAAATATGTGATAACGAGTAATACCAAGAATTACAAAAAAAATTTAAAAAAATGGGAGGAACTACTCGAGGAACTTTTGATGATTTGGAAATAAAATAGTAATGAAGAAACTCGGTGTTCGATCACAGCCACCTGACTTAACCACTGTCAAAATGGATCACATCGTAAGCCAACTCTTCCACATACACGTAAAAAAGGCAACTGATCCAGAACAAACTTAAAGACTTACACAAAACTCTCAGTGCACCCTCGAAGAACTGCAACTAGCCATTGGTAAGCTTAAGAACAACAAATCACCCGGCCCGGATGACCTGAAAATAATAGCTGCAAAGCGACCGGCAGTATTATTGTATATGTACAACCCTCAGGCTCAAAGCCGGAATATTCATATTCATATTCATTATGCATGCTTGACACATCGGGAAAACACTATGAAAGGCTACTTAAGCCCAGCCATGAAGCGGTTATCAACGAAGCTAGAGGACTCTTCCCTAGACTGCATGGCTTTAGACCCGTCAGATCAGCTCTAAGAGTTATTAACTGCATCATTAAAAGTATAGAAGCCGCACAGCATATATATTGCTGGCGACTTTAGATGTTCGAAACGCCTTCAACAGCGCAAGATAGGTGGATATGATCGATGCGCTCGAAAAT